CACCAAACAGGCAAAGAGTCAATGCAGGACTAAGATTGAGTCGAACTATACCGGCTCTGATGCTCGTCGGATGTGGCAAGGCTTGAAAACTATTACAGACTACAAAGGGAAGCACAGCCGCGAGCTGCCCAGTGACACAAGACTTCCAGATGAGCTAAACCACTTCTATGCTCGCTTCGAGGCAAGCAACACTGAAGCATGCATGAGAGCACCAGCTGTTCCGGATGACTATGTGATCACGCTCTCCGTAGCCGATGTGAGTAAGACTTTTAAGCAGGTCAACATTCACAAGGCCGCAGGGCCAGACGGATTACCAGGACGTGTACTCCGAGCATGTGCTGACCAACTGGCAAGTGTCTTCACTGACATTTTCAACATGTCCCTGACTGAGTCTGTAATACCAACATGTTTCAAGCAGACCAAGGACTCTAAGATAACCTGCCTAAATGACTACCGACCCGTAGCACTGACGTCTGTAGCCATGAAGTGCTTTGAAAGGCTGGTCATGGCTCACATCAACACCATTATCCCAGAAACCCTAGACCCACTCCGATTTGCATACCGCCCCAACAGATCCACAGATGATGCAATCTCTATTGCACTCCACACTGCCCTTTCCCACCTGGACAAGAGGAACACCTACGTGAGAATGCTATTCATTGACTACAGCTCAGCATTCAACACCATAGTGCCCTCAAAGCTCATCACTAAGCTAAGGATCCTGGGACTAAACACCTCCCTCTGCAACTGGATCCTGGACTTCCTGACGGGCCGCCCCCAGGTGGTAAGGGTAGGTAACAACACATCTGCCACACTGATCCTCAACACGGGGGCCCCTCAGGGGTGCGTGCTCAGTCCCCTCCTGTACTCCCTGTTCACCCATGACTGCATGGCCAGGCACAACTCCAACACCATCATTAAGTTTCCCGACGACACAACAGTGGTAGGCCTGATCACCGACAATGATGAGACAGCCTATAGGGAGGAGGTCAGAGACCTGGCCGTGTGGTGCCAGGATATCAACCTCTCCCTCAACGTGACCAAGACAAAGGAGATGATTGTGGACTACAGGAAAAAACAGAGGACTGAGCACGCCCCCATTCTCATCGACGGGGCTGTAGTGGAACAGGTTGAGAGCTTCAAATTCCTTGGTGTCCACATCACCAACGAACTATCATGGTCCAAACACACCAAGACAGTCATGAAGAGGGCACGACAAAGCCTAGGAGACTGAAAAGATTTGGCATGGGTCCTCAGATCCACAAAAAATTATACAGCTGCACCATCGAGAGCATCCTGACTGGTTGCATCACCGCCTGGTATGGCAACTGCTTGGCCTCCGACCGCAAGGCACTACAGAGGGTAGTGCGTACGGCCCAGTACATCACTGGGGCCAAGCTTCCTGCCATCCAGGACCTCTATACCAGGCGGTGTCAGAGGAAGGCTCTCAAAATTGTCAAAGACTCCAGCCACCCTAGTCATAGACTGTTCTCTCTGCTACCGCATGGCAAGCGGTACCGGAGTGCCAAGTCTAGGTCCAAAAGACTTCTCAACAGCTTCTACCCCCAACCCATAAGACTCCTGAACAGTTAATCATGGCTACCCGGACTATTTGCACTGCCCCCCCCCCCACCCCATCTTTTTACGCTGCTGCTACTCTGTTCATTATTTATGCATAGTCACTTTAACTCTACCCACATGTACATATTACTTCAACTACCTCAACTAGCCGGTGCCCCCGCACATTGACTCTGCACCGGTACCCCCCTGTATATATAGCCTCCCTACTGTTATTTTATTTTACTCTTTTTTTTCTCAACACTTTTTTGTTGTTTTATTCTACTTTTTTATTAAAAATAAATACACTGTTGGTTAAGGGCTGTAAGTAAGCATTTCACTATAATGTCTGCACCTGTTTTTTTCGGCGCATGTGGCCAATAAAATTTGATTTGATTTGATTGGATCTGTTGGGGCGGTTTGCAAATTGCAGTGGATCTAGGGTTTCTGGGATGGTGGAGTGAATGTGCCCCATAACAAGCTTCTCAAAGCACTTCATGATTACAGAAGTGAGAGCTACAGGGCAGTAATCATTGTGGCACGAAGCCTTATAATTCTTAGGAACAGGGATGATTGTGGTCATTTTAAAATATGTGGGGATTACAGACTGGGACAACGAGAGTTTGAAAATTACCGTGAATATGCCTGCCAGCTGTTCTGCGCATGCTCTGAGAATGTGCCCTGGAATACCGTTGGCCTCAGAAAGCGAGATCACCCAATCCTCTGGGTCGGGGACGGCCCTCACACCCGGCTCGATGTTGTTGTCGTCAAAGCATGCAGGTTCTCAATGGAGTTCAAGTCCGGAGACTGAGATTGCCATTGCAAAATGTTGATTTTGTGGTCAATTAACCATTTCTTTGTGGGTTTTGATTAGTGCTTGGGGTTATAGTCTTGCTGGAAGATACACTTGTGGCGAAGTGTCAGCCTCCTGGCAGAGGCAACCAGGTTTTTAGCAAAACTGACCTGGTACTTGGTCAAGTTCATGATGCCATTGACCTTAACAAGGGCCCCAGGACCAGTGGAAACAAAATAGCCCCATAACATCAAAGATCCACCACCATATTGTACTGTAGGTATGAGATTCTTTTCTGCATTTGTTACTGTTTTCAACGCCAAACCCACCATTGGTGTGTGGCCAGAGCTCTATTTTCATGTCATCTGACCATATTGCCAATGCCATAGTGCCAATGCCAATGCCATCCAATCCAAGTGCCAATGCAGTTTATCAAACTCCAGGCGATGCTATGGTCAGATGACATGAAAATAGAGCTCTTTGGCCACACACACCAGTGTAACATGGCTCATATAGTGAGGATCGCTACAGTACAACTCAGATGTGTGAGTTTACGGGCGTTTTGCCTTAGTCCTCGTGTCAAAGTCATTTTGCTATTGGCCAAGTATGTTTATTACTTTTGATGTTATATATTTTTTACAACATTTTTTTCATAATTGTTCTGCATTTGTAAGTTGTTGTAAATACAACCTCTGGAGCTAGCCTAGGCATCTGATAGTGGGCGCTAGAACTGCACTCTCGTCTTGGATTGACGTGCCCAGCCGGTAGTACACTCCTGTCCCCCGGGGGGAAAAAACAGGAAAAGATGTGTACTGTCTTAATAAAACCCAATTTTCCACCATCATTTTCAGATTTTTTGACAAATTAGGATGTTGCACACCCTTGGCTGAACGCGATGTGCAAAAATCCTAAAACAATCGGAAAATGGTGGTGGAAAATTCTGATTTATTAATACAGTACACATCATTTTCCTTTTTTTTTTTTTATGGCCCTCCATTAAAGCTAGTTAAGAAGGGAAATGATGCCTTTGCAGCCTGAATGGAGGATGCTTTATGCCAGGCCACAGAGGACACAAATGTATTACCGGCTGGGCACATCAATCCTAGATGGTAGCGCCCACTATCTGCTGCCAAGGCTACTCTGGAGTCAGTCTAATGGAGGTCCTGTCAATCAGGGAGGTAATTATAGAGAATTAGACATTTCTTTATCACTTGCCGCTTCAGTTATGGGCTCCACTTCCTGGTTTGAGTGAAATATTAAGTGGGTGTGTCAGGAAGAGGGAAACCATATTGACTGCAGGTCATGGTAAGAAATGTTTGGTCATCAAGACTGTTTAGTTGCTCTGAGGATGCTCTCAGTCGTTCATAGTAGGTCCCCTCCTCTCCTGTAACATGATTTGCTCTGAGGGAATAAACATTATTATAATAAAGAATCAAATCAAATTGTATTTGTCACATACACGCGTTTAGCAGATGTTATTGCGGGTGTAGTGAAATGCTTGTGCTTCTAGCTCCGACAGTGCAGTAATATCTAATAATAATAATAATAATAATAATAATATCTAACAAGTAATATCTAACAATTTCACAACATATACCTAAAACACACAAATCTAGTAAGGAATGGAATTTAAGAATATATACATATATGGACAAGCAATGACAGAGCGGCATAGACTAAGATACATTAGAATATTATAGAACAGAATACAGTATATTTACATTTTTGTCATTTAGCAGACGCTCTTATCCAGAGCGACTTACAGTTAGTGAGTGAATAAATTTTTTCATCCTGGCCCCCCGTGGGAAAGAACCCACAACCCTGGCGTTGCAAGCGCCATGCTCTACCAACTGAGCTACACCTGGCAAGATATGTAAACATTATTAAAGTGACTAGTGTTCCATTTCTTAAAGTGGTCAGTGATTTCAATAGGCAGCAGCAGCCTCTAATGTGCTAGTGATGGCGACAAACAATTAAAGACAAACAACAACAACAACAACAATAAAATATTAAACTTTATTACAACTCTATTACAAGTTGTAATGTAACTAATGTTTTATGTACACTGTATCAACTTCTGAGGGAATAAACTGTCTTATAATGTTTATTGTAATAAACTGAGTCAACTTTATTAACTTTGTTAAAAGTTATCCCGTGATTAATGTTTTAAAGGGATAGTTCACCCATATTACAAAATGACATATTGGTTTCCTTATCCTGTAAGTAGTCCATATCAGTTTCCCTGGCACTGCTTCCAAATGCTAATGTTTTATATACAGTATATTAGCATTTTCTGTGCATCATGTCCAAATCATTTATAAGTGACTTTGTTGAGCTACACAATTAATTGTAGATACTGTACTTTAGGATGATTTGGACATGATGGGCAAAAAAGGTCACTAACGTTACAGCGTCGGCCCATATAACGTATCCAAAAGTACAGTTACAGCAACATCCATTTCTAACATAACACAGAAGCAAAGGGAATTTATCATACTACTTTAGAAAGCTTATTTGATCACATTAAATTCAAAGAATGGAGGATGCGGGCATCGATCCCGCTACCTCTCGCATGCTAAGCGAGCGCTCTACCATTTGAGCTAATCCCCCGTACTGAAAGACAGTGTACATTAATTATTGGAATGTCATCGTCCGCGCCTGTCCTACATTGAAATGATTCCGGCGGAAGTTTAGTGGCGAGGCCCTGTCCATAAAGAAACAAAGAAATGGCGAGTGGAGTCGGGAGTGAGTATTATTTGTTATTGTTTGCTAGCTTGCAAATGTAGCTACAACGTATACATACATTTCAAATGTAATGTACAATATGTTCGTAGCTAGCTGGCTTTATACATTATATTCGTCTAGTTAGCGGCGAGCGCCTGGCAAGCTAGCTAAATTGCTAACTAACAATGTGTTCCTAGCTACAGAGCACGCACCTTCCTAGCCGAATATGGTAAACAACAAAAACAATTATTGGGTTAGATTACATAGCCAGCTAAGTGGTGATGTTATGCTTTTCTAGCTAGCTAGCTCGAACCCTTCTTTGCATTAACAACAACATTGTAGCTTGCTGGCTGTGTAGCCGGTGTTTAGCTAACTAGCTAGCCTAGATTTGCGCTCTGACCTAAGTTTGGTTCCCCCTTCGCAGCGACCTGTCAAATCTATCTTTCTCTCTATTGCTAGCCTAATAATGGACTAAAGGAGCCTAACGTTACTCCTTGTAGTCCAAGGACCTTACATGTTCTGTTTAGAGGCGAAATGGCTCTGGCAGCCAAATACTCCGTCTAAACGTCCAACCTGGACTTAGGGGTAGACGTAGCTCTTGATCATGACTCTCAGTTCGATTACATTACACATAAGTCATTTGCCCAAGGGGTCTTCTGTAGGGGTAAGTTTTGTTAAGAGCCAGGAGGCTCAGTCTGAACATGAACATGAATTGATTCTCAATTGCGGTACAGTTCTAGAAACATAAATCCCTCTACTTTCATATCACATCTAAATCATTTGAAAATACACACTGTTTTAACACAGTTGCAGTCGACAGTATTTTTCAGTGACAACACGTTGGTGGCGTCTGTCTTCCGTTTGTAGAGGCAGATAGATAATTAGCACAGGTAGTCGACAGTCTTCCATCTGTTTGCTGTAACATGGAACTATGGCAGTGTGGGAACCCTAATAATATAAAGGTGTGTTGTAATTTAACCTTTTGTTTTTAGAAAATTATTTATCGCCGATATGAAAGATACGTTCCTTATGTTTCCAAAGCCGTACCACAAGCGATGCGTGTTAACGTTTAGAGCAAGCGTCTCTTAAAGGGATAATCCACCCCCAGAAATAAAAATCATGAAACTCCTAAGTCAATTTGGTGAAAGCTAACAGTGCCTTCAGAAAATATTCACACCCATTTGACTTTTTCCACATTTTGTTGTGTTACAAGGTGGGATTGAAATTGATTTCATTGCCATTTTTTGTCAATGATCTGCACAAAATACTCTGTCAAAGTGGAAGAAAAATTTGAACATTTGTATAACATTTATGAAAAATTAAACACTAATATCTTGATTACATAAGTATTCAACCCCCTGAGTCAATACATGTTAGAATCACCTTTGGCAGTGATTACAGCTGTGAGTCTTTCTGGGTACGTCACTAAGAGCTTTGCACACCTGGATTGTACAATATTTGCACATTATTCTTTAGACAAATCTTCAAGCTCTGTCAAATGTGTTGTTGATCACAGCCATTTTCAAGTCTTGCCATAGATTTTCAAGCAGATTTAAGTCAAAACTGTAACTAGGCCACTCAAGAACATTCAATGTTGTCTTGGTAAGCAACTCCAATGTATTTTTGGCCTTGTGTTTTAGGTTATTGTCCTGCTGAAAGGTGAATTTGTTTCCCAGTGTCTTTTGGAAAGCAGACTGAATGAAGATTTTCCTCTAAGATTTTGCCTGTGCTTAGCTCTATTTATTTATTTTTATTTTAAAAACTCCCTAGTCCTTGCCGATGACAAGCATACCCATAACATGATACAGCCACCACCATGCTTGAAAATATGAAGAGTGGTACTCAGTGGCGTGTTTTGTTGGATTTGCCCCAAACATAACGCTTTGTATTCAGGACACCAAGTGAATTTCTTTGCCACATTTTTAGCAGTTTTACTTTAGTGCCTATTCTGTGCAGGCTTCCTTCTTTTCACTTTCATTTAGGTTAGTATTGTGGATTAACTACAATGTTGTTGGTCCATCCTCAGTTTTCTTCTATCACAGCCATTAAACTCTTTAAAGTCACCATTGGCCTCATGGTGAAATCCCTGAGCGGTTTCCTTCCTCTCCGGCAACTAAGTTAGGAAGGACGCCTGCATCTTTGTATTGATACACAATCCAAAGTGTAATTAATGACTTCACCATGCTAAAAAATAATGAGGTAGTCATTCAAAAATAATGTTAAAACATGATTATTGCACACAGTGAGTCCATGCAACTTATGTGACTTGTTAAGCAAATTATTACTCCTGAACGTTAGGCTTGCCGTAACAAAGGGGTAGAATGCTTGTTGACCCAAGACATTTCAGCTTTTCATTTTTTATTAATTTGTAAACATTTCTAAAAACGTAATTCCACTTTGACATTATGGGGTATTATTTGTAGGCCAGTGACACAAAATCTCAATTTAATCCATTTTAAATTCAGGCTGCAACACAACAAAATGTGGAAAAAGTCACGGGGCTGAATACTTTCTGAAGGCACTGTATGTTCTATCAGTGGGTCAAATAAACATAAATCCCCATGTTTTAACTTTTAAGTGGTCCGGAAATCGTGTAGGAACGCGTCATAGCTACATAAACTCGTCACTGGAGATAGGGGATAACACGCTCACATTTTCATAACTCTTTTAAAACAATTACCTGCACTCCAGATCGCCAAATCAGCCAGTACATGATATGGGCATACTTGTCTAGAACACATCCATCTGTTTATATCGTCGTGACAAAGTATATATTTCACTTAGATGTGCTCAATCTAGACAGTGTACCAAATTATTCAACTCTGTTTCTGTGTTTGTGGGAAACAAAGATATTACAGAAAGGATGAGATAGGTATCCCATTGGGTCAATAAATGGAGCAACGCCCCACCCACCTGACTGTCGACCCATCGTATTCACGTTGTCATGCTGCTTCACGCGGTTGCTAAGCTAATCGTCACACAATCCCTTCTCAAAGTCAGGGTACCTGCCTATTTTCCTCGAAAGTACGTAATGTCACGATTCCAAAGCTATACGATATTACAGGGAACACGTTAATTATCTCACATTTTGGAAAATATTTACAATGTTGTACTTCTTGTTCGCGGAATTCATGCTAATGTTCGGTTTTTGAGCTAGCGCAAGATTGATTCCCATTCACTCCTTGAAGGAGTACACAATGGCCGTTAATACGATTTCTAATAGAGTTTCCCATCTCCTCAAAAGTATCTCTGTGTGAAAGAAATGTGCTCTGGGCAGAGACGAACTGCATATTGAACTCTTGTGAGAGACTCATAAATTGATAGTGCAGTTTGTTTAGCCGACTTTATAGCTAGCTAGCTACTCCACATGCTGATATTGACTTTGATATTGTTGTGTGTAGCTAGGTTTTCAAGCTAGCTAGCCAGCCAGCCCAAAGAGAGCGCATTGCATTGTGGGTTTTGTAGTAGACTTGAGCTGCAACATATTTCCCAAAACGTTTTTCACGTTTCTACCAACCTTGTCATAACGACAAAATGAAACATTTGTTCACAAAAATGGTTTTCACATATGAGTGTTATTTAACACTGTTAATCATAGGAATTAGTGGTTTGGGTTGGATTTATCCCATTAACAAAACTCCCCCTGCCAGAAGATACTATCTTCAATAGGAGCTAAAGGTAGTTAGCGTCTATGAATGGGCAATTGCTAACCTACCTCTTCCAAACTTCATAATTTCCTTATCTCTGTCTTTATGTGTAGAACACAAGATGCTTTCCGCTGGCCCGACGGAACCGTGGTCATTGAGGGAGAAACTATGCCTAGCCTCCTCTGTTATGAGGAGCGGAGACCAAAACTGGTAAAGAAACACACACTACCAACGTTTTCCCCAGTCTTTCACTCTGTCTGCATCTACATGTTTTTATTTCTCTAGTGTGCATAGTAAACTGTTCTACATGGTCATTTTTTGTACACTACTTGATTGTCCTCCTACCTTTCAGGGTGTCGGTCAGCAGAGCCATCAAGCCTTTCTCAGAGCAAGGCCGCCCAGCAGACTGGTTTTCTCAGAAGGTAAGACATTACATTTACATTTTAGTCATTTAGCAGACGCTCTTATCCAGAGCGACTTACAGGAGCAATTAGGGTTAAGTGCCTTGCTCAAGGGCACATTTACGTCATTTAGCAGACGCTCTTATCCAGAGCGACTCACAAATTGGTGCATTCACCCTATAGCCAGTGGGATAACCACTTTACAAAATTTTTTTTTGGGGGGGGGTAGAAGGATTACTTTATCCTATCCCAGGTATTCCTTAAAGAGGTGGGGTTTCAAATGTCTCCGGAAGGTGGTGAGTGACTCCGCTGTCCTGGCGTCGTGAGGGAGCTTGTTCCACCATTGGGGTGCCAGAGCAGCGAACAGTTTTGACTGGGCTGAGCGGGAACTATGCTTCCGCAGAGGAAGGGGAGCCAGCAGGCCAGAGGTGGATGAACGCAATGCCCTCGTTTGGGTGTAGGGACTGATCAGAGCCCGAAGGTACAGAGGTGCCGTTCCCCTCACTGCTCCATAGGCAAGCACCATGGTCTTGTAACGGATGCGAGCTTCAACTGGAAGCCAGTGGAGTGTGCGGAGGAGGGGGGTGACGTGAGAGAACTTGGGAAGGTTGAACACCAGACGGGCTGCGGCGTTCTGGATGAGTTGTAGGGGTTTAATGGCACAGGCAGGGAGGCCAGCCAACAGCGAGTTGCAGTAATCCAGACGGGAGATGACAAGTGCCTGGATTAGGACCTGTGCCGCTTCCTGTGTAAGGCAGGGTCGTACTCTCCGAATGTTGTAGAGCATGAACCTGCAGGAGCGGGTCACCGCCTTGATGTTAGCGGAGAACGACAGGGTGTTGTCCAGGGTCACGCCAAGGCTCTTCGCACTCTGGGAGGAGGACACAACGGAGTTGTCAACCGTGATGGCGAGATCATGGAACGGGCAGTCCTTCCCCGGGAGGAAGTGCAGCTCCGTCTTGCCAGGGTTCAGCTTGAGGTGGTGATCCGTCATCCATACTGATATGTCTGCCAGACATGCAGAGATGCGATAACCTGGTTATCAGAAGGGGGAAAGGAGAAGATTAGTTGTGTATCGTCAGTGTAGCAATGATAGGAGAGGCCATGTGAGGATATGACAGAGCCAAGTGACTTGGTGTATAGGGAGAAAAGGAGAGGGCCTAGAACTGAGCCCTGGGGGACACCAGTGGTGAGAGCACGTGGTGCGGAGACAGCTTCTCGCCACGCCACTTGGTAGGAGCGACCGGTCAGGTAGGACGCAATCCAGGAGTGAGCCGCGCCGGAGATGCCCAGCTCGGAGAGGGTGGAGAGGAGGATCTGATGGTTCACAGTATCAAAGGCAGCAGACAGGTCTAGAAGGACAAGAGCAGAGGAGAGAGAGTTAGCTTTAGCAGTAAGAGACAGACACGCTGTGACACAACAATTAATCTCTGTCATGATGAACAAGGATAAAAGGTCAGCTACTATATATACAGTATGTGGACACCTGCTCGTCGAACATCTCATTCCAAAATCATTGGCATTAATATGGAGTTGGTCCCCCCTTTGCTGCTATAACAGCCTCCACTCTTCTGGGAAGGCTTTCCACTAGATGTTAGAACATTGCTGTGGGGACGTTCTTCCTTTCAGCCACGAGAGCATTAGTGAGGTTGGGCGATTAGGCCTGGCTCGCAGTCGGCGTTCCAATTCATCCCAAAGGTGTTCGATGGGGTTGAGGTCGGGCTCTGTGCAGGCCAGTCAAGTTCTTCCACACCAGTCAAGTTCTTCCACACCGATCTCAACAAACCATTTCTGTATGGACCTCGCTTTGTGCACGGGGGCATTGTCATGCTAAAACAGAATTGTCTAGAATGTCATTTTATGCTGTAGCATTAAGATTTCCCTTTACTGGAACTAAGGGGCCTAGCCCGAACCATGAAAAACAGCCCCAGACCATTATTCTTCTTCCACCAAACTTTACAGTTGGCACTATGCATTCGGCAGGTAGCGTTCTCCTGGCATCCACCAAACCCAGATTTGTCCGTCGGACTGCCAGATAGTGCAGCGTGATTAATCACGCCAGAGAACGCTTTTCTACTGCTCCAGAGTCCAATGGCGGGAAGCTTTACAGCACTCCAGCCGACGCTTGGCATTGCACATGGTGATCTTAGGCTTGTGTGCGGCTGCTCGGCCATGGAAACCCATTTCATGAAGCTCCCGATGAACAGTTCTTGTGCTGATTTTGCTTCCAGAGGCAGTTTGGAACTCAGTAGTGAGTGTTGCAACCGAGGACAGGCGATTTTTACGCACTCAGCTGTCATTATCTGTGAGCTTGTGTGGCCTACCACTTCGCGGCTGAGCTGTTGTTGCTCCTAGACGTTTCCAATTCACAATAACAACACTTACAGTTGACCGGGGCAGCTCTAGCAGGGCAGAAATTTGACAAACCACTTTGAAATTCACTGAGCTCTTCAGTGAGGCCATTCTACTGCCAATGTTTGTCTATGGAGGTTGCATGGCTGTGTGCTCAATTTGATACACCTGTCAGCAACGGGTGTGGCTGAAATTGCCGAATCCACTATTTTGAAGGGGTGTCCACATACTTTTGTATATATAGTGTATCTAACTTGCTGTCTGTGTCTCTGACCCCCACAGCACTGTGCCTCTCAGTACTCTGAGCTGCTGGAGGCCACAGAGGCTCCAAAGTGAGTACACAAACACACACACTTTATTGGAGTATTCTGTTGCATAGTCAGCACTCCAGCTGTCATCAGAGCGGTTCCCACAGAGTGTAATCATGTGTCTGATGCACGGTGCTGTTTCAGGCGTAAGCGTGGGGAGAAGGGTGAGGTGGTGGAGACCATTGAGGACGTGATCGTCCGAAGACTCACTGCCGAGAGGATAGAAGAGCTGAAGAAACTACTGAGAGACACACAGGACAAATACAGGTCAATACACATGGGCACTCTCGCTCACACACCCATTCAACCTCTCACGCTGTCTTTCTGTTTCGCTCTCGATCTTGCTATCTCTCTCACATTACACACACACACTCCCACTCTCACACGTTAAACCCATCGCTCTCAATGCATAGCCAGTGTCTGTGTTCAAAGCCATTGTAGATGACAATGTGAACTCTACTTCCTGCTCTAACAGGAAGCTGAAGAAGGAGGTGGATCTGATCCAGACCGGACATCTGGACTCCCGGCTGGAGGAGCTGTGGACAGACGTATCACAGTAAGAAACTGGTCTGTCTGTCTGTCCACCTGTCTGTCTCTTAGTGTATGACTGCATGCCTGTCTGTCCACCTGTCTCTCGGTTTGTGTCTGCATGTCTGTCTGTCCAACAGTGTGTTTATTTGTTGTATGCACTACATTGTGATTCATAGTGTACTTTCTGTACCAGATTTAGCAGTGACGATTGTGTTTAAAATGGTTTTGTTTGGCAGGAAAAAGAAGCAGGATGAGGACGAGGCAGATCTTAAGAGGAAGGCCACAGAGACAGCCTATCAGGGTAAGCTTTGGCCTAATAATAATAATCCAAATGTTTGGGCACCACTGATTGGACCAATGATTAGGCTCAGGAACTACTGTTAATAGTAACCCCTCCTCTCTCTGGTCTCAGCTCGCCAAGCGGTTAAGAACACGCCCAAGCGGGTGCCCAGTGTCACTGTACGCTCCCCTCTGGGTGCCAGTCCCACGAGCATGGAGGCACAGACAGACACCCCCACACCCCCAACAGACACAGCCATGCCCCAGGCAGAGGAGCCCTCTGGCACCACTATGGTAAGGGAATGACCCAAGTACTGGTCATCATACGCGTGCTTTGTTATTTTGTTTTGCTTTTTGTCTTCAACAGTTGTCCCTTGTTGACGTGTGTGTTGCTAGCAAATGACAAGTGACTTGCGTATTCTGTATTCAAGCTCTGCCTTGCACTTCCATCAGCGTGCATGAAATGGGTCAAAGACTGATCAGTATTGGAAGGAATACAATTGAAGTGCTGTGGTCTATTAAATGGAGGAGTAGTCAGTGAATGTTTTTTTCCCCCCAATCTGGCCACGTAGGCCCAGGGGGTGGCTGTGTTTCTACCATCGTCGGATGCTCCAATGGTGGGGCCTAAGGAGGGAAGCCTGGGGTCTCTGGTTGACGACTCCCCACAGAAGAGGCTCCTCAGTCAGAAGTCCACACCACCTCCCTCCCCTCTCCTCTCAGAGCTGCTGAAGAAAGGAAGCCTGATCTCTGCTAGCCCCAGACTGGTGAGAAATACACAACAGAGAAAGTTGAGAGGGATAAAAAAATAAACTGATGATTTGCGGTAATAAGGGATGAAATTATTGAGTTATATTGGGTGGATATGTTTAAGGGAGAGGGTTCAGATTAAGTTTGACTTCACAAGCTACTGGTGTTGGAAATTCCTGTCTTAATTGTATCACTCTTGTTGCTGTATACTCCTGAGTGGCGCAGTGGTCTAAGGCACTGCATCGCAGTGCTAACTGTGCCACTAGAGATCCTGGTTCGAATCCAGGCTCTGTCGCAGCCGGCCGCGACCGGGAGACTCATGGGCGGCGCACAATTGGCCAGCGTCGTCCAGGGTAGGGGAGGGAATGGCCGGCAGGGATGTAGCTCAGTTGATAGAGCATGGCGTTTGTAACGCCAGGGTTGTGGGTTCGTTTCCCACGGGGGGCCAGTATATAAAAATAAAAATAAAAAATATATATATATATATATATATATGTATATGTGTATTCACTAACTGTAAGTTGCTCTGGATAAGAGCGTCTGCTAAATGACTAAAATGTAAATGTAAAAAATGAGAATTTTCATGCACCGCAGGAAATGCAGATGAGCTTCGTGATTTACATAAATTCACTGAAAACCCACACTAACACATGGTTATATTAAAGCGGCAATCAGCAGTTGCTGCATACATTTTTTGACTTATAAATTAATAATTATATACCCATTGATTCTTGAAGAATCTAACTTCTAAATGCCTCATGAGCTTAGTTCAACTGTCGTACCCCATCAGAACCCCAAATAGAAGCTTGTTTTACTCCAATGTTTTTAAACAATGTAAATGTAAACAAACACTATTATAGACTAAAAATTTGGTTCAAACTATAATTTTGACATCATGGATGGTCAGTCCTTGCATCCATAGCACTGTCTATGCAGTTTAGAGTGGTTACATTTCTCCAGCCCCATCCCTCAGCTTTTTACCGAAACAGTGGCGGGGGAGCAACTGCGAATTGCCCCTTTAACAGTATTGCACTTTTCATGTAGCCTACTTTTGGCCAGCTAATAGGCTAACCACAGATCAAGCAACATTATGGACTGAACATTCAAATCCTGTTGCTACAGAATTCTATTGTTGTGACCATATAGGTCAAATTAAGATCCTACATCTGTACCAAGCTGCTTCAAACAGTTGAATCAGGGATATTGTGTGTTGATGATGTAATATATCTGTGTCAGGTGGTGGAGGGGGATGTTGCTGCTGCAGGACTGGCTAATGGAGGACTTCCCACTGCAACCCTTACTATCCCAGCAGGCCTTGAGGTCGCCAGCTCAGGTAACTAAGGCAACCGTGATGTAACACTGCTTGCTAGCTGGCTGGATGTTATGTGTTTGCCTTGATGTGTATTTTAGGATGCTAAGTTGAGTGCTATATGTGCTGGTGGGTGCTTCTGTGCTTTAAATGTGTTAGAAGCAAAGTGTGTGTCTGTGTCCTTTTATTAGATTTACTTTGTTGTGTCCAATGGAAACAGTGTCCCCACTGCCCAGGCCAGCCCTGCCCCACCCAACACAGGTTAAAACTGTCCCTCATCTTTTTGTCCCTCCCTCCCACACTGTCTCAGTGTTTCTCTCTAAACCCAGCTGTCTCTCTCTTCCCTCTAGAAAAGGGAAGGAATATCTATGTGAAGAGGAACACGCATCTGATATCTACTCCCAGTGAGACCAGTGTACTATTTGTGGTGACACGTGCTTCTTTTCTTTCTTTCTTTCTTTCTTTCTTTCTTTCTTTCTTTCTTTCTTTCTTTCTTTCTTTCTTTCTTTCTTTCTTTCTTTCTTTCTTTCTTTCTTTCTTTCTTTCTTTCTTTCTTTCTTTCTTTCTTTCTTTCTTTCTTTCTTTCTTTCTTTCTTTCTTTCTTTCTTTCTTTCTTTCTTTCTTTTGTGTGTTCAGTCGGAGAGGCAGGCTCAGAGGTGGTGAAGGCAGAGCTGGGTGAGGAGGTGGAGCTAGTGAAGGAGGTGGGGCTAGTGGAGGAGGACCTGGTAGCTGTTTCCTACATGGAAGACGAGCTGGACCTGAAGACAGTGGAAGACCTCATCACCATCATAGAGGAGAAGGTACATAGTGTGTGTGCGTGGGGGGTGGGATGCAGCTTTTGACCTAGATATCTCTGTAGTAAGCGGTCTTGTTTGTGCGCACTCATCACAGTCCTCTCTCTCTCTCTCTCTCTCTCTCTCTCTGTGTATATTTCTCAGGTGGATGACTCTGTGGAGGCTCTAGATGCTGCAGCAGTGGAGGCTGCTCTCTCTCTCTGTGAGGAGGCTGTTTCTGCCAGCCACTCCCTCTCAGGCCCCTGGGAGGCCCATGACTTGAAGGCCTCAGAGCCTGGGCCCACGGTTCAGTCTGACCCCACACAGGGGCTTCAGGGCGGGGTTGGGGCGGGAGCTAACCCTGGGGGCCTGGAGCCAGAGACAGAGAGTGGAAGGGGGGAAGCCAAGGAGGGGAAGGACTGTGAGGGATTAGAAACAGTGGGGACGGACGTTGCTCCTTCTGTTGCCGCTGACGACAGCCTGGCAGGAAGTGAGGTCACAGAGGAGGGAGTTCTCGAGGTGGAAGGAAGCCTGAGCACAGCTGTGAAGACTGAGAATGAGGAGTGGACCCAGCCGGAACCAAACACACCCTGCCTAGACTCAGAAGACAGCTCTGGATCAGGGAAAGAGTCCAAGGTAATTGTCCTCTTTTCAGTAACACACACACACATACCTCTAACAGGTGCAGTTGAATTATCATCTCTCCTTGTGTATCTTTGTGTAGGAAGTGAAGGATGAGGATGGAGGGAGCGACGGGGATCCTGATGAAGGAATGGAGATGAAGGAGTGTGGAGAGGGGGAGGGGGAGGGGCCCTACCTATCAGAAGTAGAACCGGCAGCCAGTGAGAGCGAGGATGGCTATGGCCCCTCCTCCCAACGCTACACCACAGCTGATTCACTAGCCAGCAGCCCCGCCTCTTCTCAGTTGTAAGTGTCCAACCCTGGTCCTTGTATCTATGGCAACTCTTAACCTGAACATGCCATCACAAGCCTGAATAATGCAAGTCAACTCGACCCTAAAGAATGCTTTTTGACCTCTCCCCAAGATGAGGGGTGGTTTCTCTGTAGTAAGCTGTCTTGTGGACTTTTGTGCACTGTCATCACAATCATACCTGTCTCTCTCCATTGACCTCTCTCGCCCTCTATCACTCACTCACCCTCCTGTCTCTCTCTCTCTCTCAGTTCGATATGTGGGGAGGATCAGGAGGCCGTTCAGGCTCAGAAGATCTGGAAGAAAGCCATCATGCTGGTGTGGAGAGCAGCAGCCAATCACAGGTCAGCTCTTAGCCATGTGCCCAATAACAGCCAATATGTCTGAGGCACTGTGTAGTTTGCCTGATCTGTTGTTGTTACCTATGACAGGTACGCCAGTGTGTTCCTCCAGTCTGTGTCTGATGACATCGCCCCTGGTTACCACAGCATTGTACACAGGTGAGAGTTCTATAAGAGCAAACAGTTTGTGTTATTATATGTTATGTGCATATGAAAATAAAATATATATAAACAATGTAAGTACATACTAACCATCCCCTGTAAAACACACACACACACTCCTCCCTCACACATCCACACACCCTTTCCCTCCAGACCCATGGACCTGTCGGCCATCAAGAAGAGCATCGAGGCGGGTCAGATCCGTACGACAGCGGAGTTCCAGCGTGACATCATGCTGATGTTCCAGAACGCGGTGATGTACAACAGCTCTGACCACGATGTGTTCCACATGGCCCTGGAGATGCAGAGGGACGTTCTAGAACACGTGCAGCAGTTCCTGGCCACTCAGCTCATCATGCAGACCTCGGAGTCCTCCATCTCCACCAAGAGCCTCAGAGGCCGCGAGGGGGGCCGCAAGCCAGGGGAGCCAGTGGAGAAGGTAAGGCTAGACTAGACACACACACACACACACACACACACCTCCGAGTCCAGCATTGACACCAACGAGTCAAGACATATACAATGTATGCCAGACAGACTGTGTACCCATCTCATGCCCCAATAATCTTATCTTGCCTCTCTCCTACCTCCCCGCCATTACACTTCCTCTGTAGGAGCATGGAGCCTCTGTCTGTCTCCCCTCTCCATTACTACTGTCTGTCTATCTGTCTGTCTACTGTCTCTCTCCTCTCCATTACTACTGTCTGTCTGTCTACTGTCAAATCAAATCAAATCAAATCAAATTTTATTGGTCACATGCGCCGAATACAACAGGTGCAGACATTACAGTGAAATGCTTACTTACAGCCCTTAACCAACAGTGCATTTATTTTAAACAAAAAAGTAAGAATAAAACAACAACAAAAAAGTGTTGAGAAAAAAAGAGCAGAAGTAAAATAAAGTGACAGTAGGGAGGCTATATATACAGTAAAATAAAGTGACAGTAGGGAGGCTATATATACAGGGGGGTACCGTTGCATAGTCAATGTGCGGGGGCACCGGCTAGTTGAGGTAGTTGAGGTAATATGTACATGTGGGTAGAGTTAAAGTGACTATGCATAAATACTTAGAGTAGCAGCAGCGTAAAAAGGATGGGGTGGGGGGGCAGTGCAAATAGTCCGGGTAGCCATGATTAGCTGTTCAGGAGTCTTATGGCTTGGGGGTAGAAGCTGTTGAGAAGTCTTTTGGACCTAGACTTGGCACTCCGGTACCGCTTGCCGTGCGGTAGCAGAGAGAACAGTCTATGACTAGGGTGGCTGGAGTCTTTGACAATTTTGAGGGCCTTCCTCTGACACCGCCTGGTATAGAGGTCCTGGATGGCAGGGAGCTTTGCCCCAGTGATGTACTGGGCCGTACGCACTACCCTCTGTAGTGCCTTGCGGTCAGAGGCCAAGCAGTTGCCATACCAGACTGTCTGTCTCCCCTCTCCATTACTACTGTCTGTCTACTGTCTGTCTCCCCTCTCCATTACTATTGTCTGTCTTTCTACTATCTCTCCCCTCTCTATTACTACTGTCTGTCTACTGTCTGTCTACTGTCTGTCTCCCCTCTCCGTTACTACTGTCTGTCTGTCTGTCTACTGTCTCCCCTCTCCATTACTACTGTATGTCTGTCTACTGTCCGTCTCCCCTCTCCGTTACTACTGTCTGTCTACGGTCTCCCCTCTCCATTACTATTGTCTGTCTGTCTACTATCTCTCCCCTCTCTATTACTACTGTCTGTCTACTGTTTGTCTCCCCTCTCTATTACTACTGTCTGTCTGTCTGTCTCCCCTCTCTATTACTACTGTCTGTCTACTGTCTGTCTCCCCTCTCTATTACTACTGTCTGTCTGTCTGTCTCCCCTCTCTATTACTACTGTCTGTCTACGGTCTCCCCTCTCCATTACTACTGTCTGTCTACTGGCTCCCCTCTCCATTACTACTGTCTGTCTACTGGCTCCCCTCTCAATTACTACTGTCTGTCTACTGGCTCCCCTCTCCATTACTACTGTCTGTCTGCTGTGTCTGTCTTACTGTTTGTACAATGTTGTCTTGTTTGTCTGACTGTACTTGTTTGTGTTGTTTACTCTGGGTGTGTGTGTGCGGAGCGTAAGTGTGACAGTGTGTACAAGGGGTAAATGTCACTGTGTGTGTGTGGGTCTCTTTTCTCACTAACTGTTTGTCCTCCTACAGGACAGTGTCCCAATGGCTTCTCCCGCTTTCCTTCTCTCTCTCTTTGTAAGTATTCAGGTCGAAGGTCACAACTCACCAGATCAAGCCAAGCGCACGCTCTGTTTCTCCGTCACACACATCTCACACTCACAAACGCATAAAACACCAGTTTGCTACTCACACTGACTATAGTAAAACATTCAAAATGCATACACCCACCTCTCATATTAACAAACACAACCGTCACCAAGTTTTTGACCTTCGGTATTTGATTCTTAAATGGACCCATCCTGGTTGTGTGTGTACGTGCGTTTGTTCATTTATCGCCATATGCCTTTTTTTTATGTATCCAGTGGTTGTCTTCAACTTCTTTCTTTGCATGTCTCTTCTAGTCCATAGTTTTTATTTCTTCCGTTTTTCCGTCCTATAATCTTTTTTTTTTTTTCATTTCATCTGGCGGGCAGCAGAGATCATCTTGTTTTAAACGGGCCATCCAGGAGCCATCGCTGGGTTTCCAACCTGGTGTCGGACTGACCTTTCACCTCTAACCTCACCCAACCTCTCTTCCCTGCAGGACGGGGGCACCAGAGGGCGCCGCTGTGCTATTGAAGCAGACATGAAGATGAAGAAATAACCGGAGTCAAAAGTCAGGGTGCCAACAGGCCAGAGGTTCAAAGAGACTTGATGTAGGGATTGGACGATTTAACCAAGAGAATGTTTGGTGGAGTTGTTACTGTTCTGTGAAGTCGGTTGTTTGAGTTTAATCAGAGTTTTCGGTTCGCTGTCTGTGTCAGAGATAGGGCTGCAGTCCTCTGGTATTCTCCTCTCCAGGCCATTTCTGATTTATCGTTGTGTACAGTTTAACTAACTTAAGTCTATGATTTGCATTTGAAGCCAGTACACTAGATATCAGACATAATTATGTTCCCGATTGACAGTTGCCACTGGTAACCAGCAGACACTGCAGCCCTGGAGGACTGAATCTGTTTTACCACTGCAGTAAAACTAAAGTACTAGTGACTGGCTGACTTGGGGCCCCATTGTGTTTTAGGATGTAGCCAACTGCAAAATATCCTGCAAGGAATCATGATGAGTGTCTACTGTATGTTAGTGGGAGTACAAAAAAGTAGTACCTGAGTGTTGAACTTCATGTACAGTTTGTTTTTCATTTCAGTGTGTTTTGTTGTTCAACTGTTTATTAAAGAGTAAGAAAATTGCAAACAATGGAAATGTCAGTTTAACTTTGACAGACCTAAGTTGAGCCCTTCAGTTCTTAGGGTATTGGTGATTCTGACAGCTGTTATGATTTAAAGAGTATGGCAACACTGAAAAGAATACTGTGCAAAAACATTTATTTCACATTTCTCAGTTTAACAATACTGAAACCGTCAGACACAGGGTAAGGGGCAACACCATCTTGCTTTCACATCCAGCATGAGGTTTTACAAAAGTAAGACAATCAAGCAATTGTTTTCGAACAACAAATGTGTAACAAAACAAAACAAAAACTATGGGGGAGTTAGATTGTACCATACTTGGCAACACATTTCACCCCCTGCTATAACCAGCAAGGTAACATGCATTCTGTGCTCTTTTCTATGTCAACTCAAATTTCAGCCATACAAAACATATAGGGTAACCATTCCTTCCTTTTTAAACGATACAAAATAATTTTTCCTTTTCACAATTGAACTGACTGTTCTCCAGTGATGTTCCAGTGCAAAACTTTCATTAGAATGTCAACTCTCCAATACAGTAGTGTACACTAACATACATTTAGTACACTGGGGGGAAAAAATAAATAAGTGGTGCAACAGCTTTTTCTCCTAACTGGAATGTAGAGAATTATAGGCCACATGTTGATTCCTGATAAGAAATTGTCTCAGCAAAACTCATGTATGACAGGGCTCGCGGAGGAATACAATTTCTTCTTGACCATCCGGTATTGGGGTCGTAGTTTCAACACCTTGTCGGTAACGAATATGTGCTTGAGAGGCGGCCAACAGTCTTTGTCCAGCTTGAACACGACGGACAGCTCGAAGGTAGGAGTGACAGTTGGGTCGGGTGTTATAGTTCCCAGCGTCTGCAGTGGTTGGCCCGGTTTTGTCTCCAAATAGACCTGTATGAAGGCCCCGCGGAGCCCGCACGGCTCTCCCGCTGAGGAGCGCACCACATCCAGGGCAACTTTGGCAGTCAGCGGGCAGGGAAGCAGCAGTATTCGGCACCGCAGACTCGATTCTTTAGCTTCAGAGAGACAACGCACTATCTGCCTGGTCATGTCCTGCTGGAGTATTCTCTCACAGTCAAGAGTTGTTTCAGAGTCCATACCTGGAAAAGAGAATGGCGTGTTAATATCAATATTGCTGATGAACCATGAGTTGAAGTTGCACAGCACGGCCTATACTTTAGTATTGCATACATTTGATATGGCAGGAGTTATATATGCTAAGACTACTATTTGACCTACTTACTAAGTTATTTAGCCTATTCAAGAACATTGCAACATTACATTTCAAACCATCTTAAAAATGTCCTTATTTTGATGATTAGTCCTAAACAAATGTTGCACTATAGGTTTAGAATATTACATACTCAGTAACATTGTTATTTTTTTTATTTTTTTCACATTGATAGTACAAATAAGACAATGGATCAGCCACTTTAAACTAGAGGAGAGAGCTCAGTAAAATTAACTTTTTATAACAGACCATCAGTTGATACAGTCATGAGCAGTCTGTTACACTAGACTATCTGGCTGCATCAGCTACATTGTATCAAGGCAGGCTACTGTGGCCGCTTGGAATGGTCATTTTATTTGACCATTTAAAATACATAATGTTACACCAGGCAACAGATACATATCCCAAAATGCCGAGGATTAAAGAGTTAAAATACTTGTTTCCATTGTGGTCCTCTACAAAGTTTGTCAAAAGGGCTATACAATTCACCAAAATTAAATCGCATGGTTATCAAAAGCCATTATTTAATACAGTACATCTATCTGATGAAATACATACTTAGATTTCAGAACAGAGACTTACTTGAGTTTATTTCCTTGATGAATTCGGGACTTTCAATGTTGCCTCGACGCACATATTTTTTATCGCTCGATGTGATTTGATCGATAAACTTTCTCATCAGTTCGACAACGTTATCCTCTTCAGACGCAATCGGAATTCCATGTCCGAGGACCAAAGCCGGGGTATAGACCATTGTGATTGTATCTCTATCTCCAACACTCCACTCAGTGATACACGTTTTCGTCCTATTCTCTCCATGTAGAAGTCAGTTGATTGAAGTCGCTGGAGCTCTCACGGTGTTTAAATAGTCATCCTTGGTTGCATCAGCTGAGCTTGCTCAAGTGTGGGACCGCCTCCTTGGTTACCATAGCAGCGCGACCGCGAGCAACTGCTGGAAGAGATTGAATCAGCCTCACGCAACATGCCTAGACATTGCACTGGCTAGCTACTCAAAACTGACTATGACCTGTTTTATCCAGTATTCTGTCTTCTGTGCAATTAATTTTATTAAGCAGGTTTATTGTTAGGTTATCAAGAAAATCAAAATAAACATTTACTCATATTTAGAACAAATTGTTTTATTTTGTTCTAAACATACATTTATTTTTCTGATCTCATAATGTCGTTTCAACTGATTACAGAATTATGGATAGCTAATTTAGGCCTAAAAAGGTAGGCTTTCGTTCAATAGCCCCCTAAACATGATTTATTGGATATTGTCGATGGTTGTCTTGATTCCCATTTGATTAATCCTTTCATAAATATGTCACCTGTAGGTTCAGGAATACACTGGAAAACACTCACTGTTCTGTTCCCTGCCTGTGCTTGCAGTCTAGACAAGGCCAGCCCAGCTAAACACAAGCCTTACCTGGGCTGAGTCACAGGTATATCACATCACATGGCCTGAAACTCACTGACCAGGCAGGAAGTGGATTTCCCCTGAACCTTGGAGACTTCCTTCCTGCTCTCCTTTCTGTTTCCCTCTCCCCCTGGGCCCATTCTGTTTCCCTCTACCCCTGGGTCCTTTCTGTTTCCCTCTCCCCTGGGCCCTTTCTGTTTCATTCTCCCCCTGGGCCCTTCTGTTTCCCTCTCCCCCTGGGACCTTTCTATTTCCCTCTCCCCCTGGGCCCTTTCTGTTTCCCTCTCCCCCTGGGCCCTTTCTGTTTCCCTCTCCCCCTGGGCCCTTTCTGTTTCCCTCTCCCCCTTGGCCCTTTCAGTTTCCCTCTCCCCTGGGCCCTTTCTGTTTCCCTCTCCCCATGGGCCCTTTCAGTTTCCCTCTCCCCCTGGGCCCTTTTGTTTCCCTCTCCCCTAGGCCCTTTCTGTTTCCCTCTCCCCCTGGGCTGTTTCTGTTTTCCTCTCCCCCTTGGCTCTTTCTGTTTCCCTCTCCCCCTGGGCCCTTTCTGTTTCCCTCTCCCTTGGGCCCTTATGTTTCCCTCTCCCCCTGGGCTGTTTCTGTTTTCCTCTCCCCCTTGGCTCTTTCTGTTTCCCTCTCCCCCTGGGCCCTTTCTGTTTCCCTCTCCCCCTGGGCCCTTTCTGTTTCCCTCTCCCCTGGGCCCTTTTCTGTTTCCCTCTCCCCCTGGGCCCTTTCAGTTTCCCTCTCCCCTGGGCCCTTTCTGTTTCCCTCTCCCCTGGGCCCTTTCTGTTTCCCTCTCCCCCTGGGTCCCCTCTGTTTCCCTCTCCCCCTGGGCCCTTTCTGTTTCCCTCTCCCCTGGGCCCTTTCAGTTTCCCTCTCCCCCTGGGTCCTTTCTGTATCCCTCTCCGCTGGGCCCTTTCTGTTTCCTTCTCCCCCTGGGCCCTTTCTGTTTCCCTCTCCCCCTGGGACCTTTCTATTTCCCTCTCCCCCTGGGCCCTTTCTGTTTCCCTCTCCCCTGGGTCCTTTCTGTTTCCTTCTCCCCCTGGGCCCTTTCTGTTTCCCTCTCCCCATGGGCCCTTTCTGTTTCCCTCTCCCCCTGGGCCCTTTCTGTTTCCCTCTCCCCCTGGGCCCTTTCAGTTTCCCTCTCCCCTGGGCCCTTTCTGTTTCCCTCTCCCCCTGGGCCCTTTCTGTTTCCCTCTCCCCCTGAGTCCTTTCTGTTTCCCTCTCCCCTGGGCCCTTTCTGTTTCCTTCTCCCCCTGGGCCCTTCTGTTTCCCTCTCCCCCTGGGCCCTTTCTATTTCCCTCTCCCCCTGGGCCCTTTCTGTTTCCCTCTCCCCTGGGCCCTTTCTGTTTCCTTCTCCCCCTGGGCCCTTCTGTTTCCCTCTCCCCCTGGGCCCTTTCTATTTCCCTCTCCCCCTGGGCCCTTTCTGTTTCCCTCTCCCCCTGAGTCCTTTCTGTTTCCCTCTCCCCCTGGGCCCTTTCTGTTTCCCTCTCCCCCTGGGCCCTTTCTATTTCCCTCTCCCCCTGGGCCCTTTCTGTTTCCCTCTCCCCTGGGCCCTTTCTGTTTCCCTCTCCCCTGGGCCCTTTCTGTTTCCCTCTCCCCCTGGGCCCTACTGTTTCCCTCTCCCCCTGGGCCCTTTCTGTTTCCCTCTCCCCCTGGGCCCTTTCTACACTCACACAAGTGTTTCAGAATGAAATGAATGAGTATCTGGAAGTGTCAATGTTTTCTCACCATGCCACTCTTTAACACACAGGCCTTGTGTGTATTGGAAATTAACAAACAAGTCTCGCACTATACATAGACATATGTGCTATTTTTAAGCTCAGATGTTGGACCTGTTGAAAATCTATGGCTGGACCTGTGCCCCAGGAAGGAGTCTGACAGTAAAAGTGTTCAGTTATGGGCCAGGTCGCAGTTGTAAATGAGAACTTGTTCTCAACTGGCTTACCTGGTTAAATAAAGGTGAAATAAATCAAATAAAAAATGGGTCAGTTATGAGTCACAGAAAGGGACATTTCCCCTTTTGTGACTCCACCTGTACACCAGCCTATCATCTTCAGCCCTGCCCAGATCATGTGAGGATCTGGCTATCATTATGACGTCAGAACAGGAAAGAGGGTGTTTACTATTTTTCTATGGAAGTGAAGGGAAACTACATAATGTGTTGGTCTGTGGGGCTTACCACTGTTTCTAGCTTGGCTGATGCAGACAGCCACTCTGCTTGCATTTTCCATGTGTTTGTGTGTGTGCGTCCATGTTTGTGTGTGTTCGCTCACAGATATCAGCTTCCTCATCAGATTGAGAACAGGTATTCACAGGTTCTCAGCTGATTTACCTAATTAAGTAAATTAATAAAATGCTACTCTACCATGTTCGGTGGGGGAAAAAAGTATTTAGTCAGCCACCAATTGTGCATGTTCTCCCACTTAAAAAGATGAGAGAGGCCTGTAATTTTCATCATAGGTACATGTCAACTATGACAGACAAAATGAGAAAAAAAATTCCAGAAAATCACATTGTAGGATTTTTAATGAATTTATTTGCAAATTATGGTGGAAAATAAGTATTTGGTCAACAACAAAAGTTTCTCAAATCTTTGTTATATACCTTTTGTTGGCAATGACACAGGTCAAACGTTTTCTGTAAGTCTTCACAAGGTTTTCACACACTGTTGCTGGTATTTTGGCCCATTCCTCCATGCAGATTTCCTCTAGAGCAGTGATGTTTTGGGGCTGTCGCTGGGCAACACGGACTTTCAACACCCTCCAAAGATTTTCTATGGGGTTGAGATCTGGAGACTGGCTAGGCCACTCCAGGACCTTGAAATGCTTCTTACGAAGCCACTCCTTCGTTGCCCGGGCGGTGTGTTTGGGATCATTGTCATGCTGAAAGACCCAGCCACGTTTCATCTTCAATGCCCTTGCTGATGGAAGGAGGTTTTCACTCAAAATCTCACGATACATGGCCCCATTCATTCTTTCCTTTACACGGATCAGTCGTCCTGGTCCCTTTGCAGAAAAACAGCCCCAAAGCATGATGTTTCCACCCCCATGCTTCACAGTAGGTATGGTGTTCTTTGGATGCAACTCAGCATTCTTTGTCCTCCAAACACGACAAGTTGAGTTTTTACCAAAAAGTTCTATTTTGGTTTCATCTGACCATATGACATTCTCCCAATCCTCTTCTGGATCATCCAAATGCACTCTAGCAAACTTCAGATGGGCCTGGACATGTACTGGCTTAAGCAGGGGGACACGTCTGGCACTGCAGGATTTGAGTCCCTGGCGGCGTAGTGTGTTACTGATGGTAGGCTTTGTTACTTTGGTCCCAGCTCTCTGTAGGTCATTCACTAGGTCCCCCCGTGTGGTTCTGGGATTTTTGCTCACCGCTCTTGTGATCATTTTGACCCCACGGGGTGAGATCTTGCGTGGAGCCCCAGATCGAGGGAGATTATCAGTGGTCTTGTATGTCTTCCATTTCCTAATAATTGCTCCCACAGTTCATTTCTTCAAACCAAGCTGCTTACCTATTGCAGATTCAGTCTTCCCAGCCTGGTGCAGGTCTACAATTTTGTTTCTGGTGTCCTTTGACAGCTCTTTGGTCTTGGCCATAGTGAAGTTTGGAGTGTGACTGTTTGAGGTAGTGGACAGGTGTCTTTTATACTGATAACGAGTGGGGGACAGAGGAGCCTCTTAAATAAGAAGTTACAGGTCTATGAGAGGCAGAAATCTTGCTTGTTTGTAGGTGACCAAATACTTATTTTCCACCATAATTTGCAAATAAATTCATTAAAAATCCTACAATGTGATTTTCAGGATTTTTTTTGCTCAGTGTGTCTGTCATAGTTGACGTGTACCTATGATGAAAATTACAGGCCTCTCTCATCTTTTTAAGTGGGAGAACTTGCACAATTGGTGGCTGACTAAATACTTTTTTCCCCCACTGTATCACTGATGTGCCCTATTTCTATCACAACGGTCTATCCACCAAGCATATTCAGTGGTTGAGAAACTCTGAAACTGCTTATATCTATTCCTCAAAGTCAGTCCAGAACACCCAGACCAGTCCCAGTCTCAGTCACCTGCTTGCTAGCTCCGGCATGGTATATCACCAGGTAATGTGTTGCTGTTTAGACTATGGGCTCTATTCAGTCTGTATCGCTGAAGCGTTGCAGATTGCGCTATAGAAATTGAAAGGTAATATCTGATTGAGCAGACATATTCAGCGTTGCCTGTGAATGAAGTCTCCGCTAACGCGGGACCATTACCTTTATTTTTTTTTACTAACCCATCCACCACCACCCTCTTCGGAGGACACATATCTTGTATGTTTTTTACAGCTTTTCTGCTACATATACATACATTTTACATAGACATTTTACATATACATTTTGCATACATATTTTACATACACATTTTACATACATGGCACTTTTATATTAAGCAATCACATAACAATAATACATTACCAAACATAAACTCTTTAATCCCACCCCTCAGCCACTCTCAGCCCAATCCACCTATCACCATAGACCACCCTCGTTTGGTTTCCATGTGCCATATATTTTTTAATTGTGCAGTGATGTTTTACATACATTTTGAACCTTTCTAGTCGTATAGTATCCACAGATTGTGAGCTAAAGATGAAAACCTTTCCTACGAGTATTATTATATTATTTATTGACTGACTATGGTTTTCCAAATCGCCCAACACTGCTATTTGTAATGTTAATTTTAAGTGAATGTTTTTTTTTACCATTTCAGAACCTGTGACCAGTTATAGGGGCAGTACCAGAATAAATGATTTAGTAATTCTGTCTCTTCGCAGCATAATCTACAGAGCTGAGATTGTTATATGCCCCATATACAGTGGTGTAAAGTACTTAAGTAAAAATACATTTACATTTTAGTCATTTAGCAGACGCTCTTATCCAGAGCGACTTACAGTTAGTGAGTGCATACATTATTTTTTCATACTGGCCCCCCGTGGGAATCGAACCAACAACCCTGGCGTTGCAAACGCCATGCTCTACCAACTGAGCTACATCCCTGCCGGCCATTCCCTCCCATACCCTGGACGACGCTGGGCTGCTCTCCTGCACTGCTCTCCTGAGACATCTTATACAGTGTCAGCAGAGGGGTGGCATACTCCACAACACAGTGATGGACCTACAGACACACACACACAAACAGGGAATACTGAGATTAAGAAAAATATATATATATATATTCTGCAAACAGGTTTATAGATTGTCCACAGCGGCGCAACTGTTGGGCTTTTCCACATTCTTTTTGTATTTTCCAGAGCTTCTTAATCACTCACTGTTGATTCACAAATTTGACCACATGGTGGTGCCAGTGTGATGCATTTCACTTTGGGATAGTGTCTGAGAAGGTGGCTGACCATAACGTAATCATTTTACATATTTAGCAGATGCTCATATCTAGAGCGACTTACAGTTAGTGAGTGCATACATTTTTATTTAATTTTTTCATACTGGCCCCCCGTGGGAATCAAACCCACAACCCTGGCGTTGCAAACACCATGCAATACCAACTGAGCTACACCGGTTCCAGCCTGTCTGTTCTCATCCAATAGGCTGTACACACTGTGTTTGTAGACAAGCCCCCTGATCCCTGCCCTGTCGATCTCTGTGTTAGGGAGGTTGTCATGGAAACAGATGTTGGTGTCCTCGTCCTCCAGCTTGTGAGCGATGTTGGCGTTGAGAGGGAGGAGGATGAGGAACTTTCTGGAACCCCTGGTCTCAAACGGACCTGCCATAATTAAGGCACGGAATTATGCGATAGAAACCTCCAACCCTACCACAGAAACACAGATAAACAAATACACACAGCTGACATGATATAGCTTTTGTTAGGCTACAGAAAACGCTTATATAAATGGCCCTGTAAAGATAAGTCCAGCCTTCTCTCTGACTGTGTTCGTTGTGATTAATCAACATCAAATCCAGAGGTTATTATTTTCTTTGTGTGTGTGAGCTAATGGTAGTCTACTAACAAGGCAGAACCAGGTTGAGGTAGCCCAGGTGGAAAGACCAAGCCAGGCCATGAGCCACGTTCACCTTCTTCTTCTCACAGATCTCTGACACCTCCACTTCAGACAGACCCTGGACATGGGAGAGAGAAACAACAACCGGAAAATAACCAGAATTACTCACAGGCCAAGAGACAGACATGCAGGTAATCTGGTATAAAAAGATCGGAATTACTGTTATGAATATTATCCGAGCTTTGTGTGTGGGAGTTTGTGTGTGGGTGTCAGAAAACCTCAGGGTTCCTAAATGGTCCTACCCAGGGACTTAAGACTGCATGAACATTGTCTTAAACCTCATTGGATACACGGCTCTTTCCAGGTTCACTCTGTGGTGATTTAGGGAAGAAAAAACTAGTTTCCTTTGACATTTTCAGGAATCATGATTTTCTGAAGAAATTAACCACAACAAGATTAAAGCTGAATGCTGTATTTGCTGCCTACTGAAGTCAATGTGACTTCTGATAACTAATGGAAGGAGGTTTGGGTCTCCTTTTGGGGGGTTTCAGGGGACTTACTGAAACCACAACCACGATGAGCAATCAAAAACCACAAGAATCAATCAAGAATCACACTACCACACAGTCAGCATTTTACAGCAGCATGTAAGCTACAGTCTCGTTCAGTATCATTGGCTTTAGGAAGCTAAACTATGTTATTAGTGGCATAAAGGAGAGGGTTTGGAGATCCACACCAGACTGATGATTAAAACTCATCCTAGAGAGCAGGGTTGGGGTCAATTCCATTTCAATTCAAAGTCAATTCAGACAGTAAAACTAATACCAATTCCACATTTTCCTCATTGTAAAGCATTGAAAATAATTGGAATTGGAATTGGAATTTCAGGGTACTTCCTGAATTTACTGGAATTTAAATGGAATTCGCCCCCATCCTGCTGGAGACACACAGGGTACTGTGTTGGTTCATACTTTGTGTGAGAGTTCCAGATCAGGCTCTTGTTATCTCACCAGTACTCCCAAGGTTTTGAGTAGAGGGTAGAGGCCACAGGCCAAGATCACCATGCTCCACTGGTCCCTCCAGGGCTGGGGCTCGGTCAGGCCAAACAGCAGCACTGCCAACTCCACACCCAGGAGAGTACACACACCCACACAGGCTGTCACCATCTGACCCAGCCTCCTACCACGGTACCTGGGTAAATAGATGGGTGAGAGAAGGAGAGAGGGAGAGGTAGAGAGAGAGAGGTAGAGAGGGAGGCAGGTAACATGTAAATATCAATCTATTTATTTGGCTACCATGTTTTGTGAGTATGAGTATGACTGTGAGTATGGAAGTTAAGTTGCCTCACCTGGTAATTGCATGATGCAGACATTCCTCTGAGAGAAGAAACACTCCGTGCAGCGAGGGCCCCACAGTCAGGATGAGTATCGCTGCGGCAACGTGTCTGAAGAAGCCCTTAGGCTCCAAAACCAAGATGGCCGTCGTCACCACGGTGGTCAATCCTATTGCACAGGCTTTGGGTAGACTCCCACGAGGCTGAGGGACCAGACAATCCTCCTCTCCCAACTGCTGAATCTGAGGAACAGACATAACAGGACCATGACTTAGTATGAGGGAATATAACATAAAAATAATCAGTAAACACCTGTTCCTTTTGTCATTTTTACAACTTCTTAAAAGGTGTTGCCAGACATTTCAACAGCCATAATCATGAACTAAGTGGCCTACGTTATATGGGCATTGAATTGGTGAAGGCCAGGTAGGGGAGGAGATTGGGATAAATTACTTCTCCAAAGAGAGACATATTGGATAGCCCCAGCAGGCCTTAATGAGGAATGTTATTTTTCTTGTTGTTTGTAGTATGCTATTATAGTATGTTATCAATAGGCCAAACACCTTGGTAATGGCATCTTAATGTAATTGTATTGTGTGTCTATGTATCTTTATTAGATTGTCATGTTTCCCCCACAGCTCTCTCTGCTGGGATCTCTTGATTGGGCCAATACTGACTGGGAATTGAGAATTATGCCCACCTGTGAGGTCTTGTTGTTGTGACATTGATTGCCATTGCCTTGCACGCTGAAGAAGGGCTCATACTGTATGTCAATTTCAGTTTATTTACCGGAGCGCTGTCCCATTACTGTTCTTTGGATTATATACCAGGATCCAGCACCTGATTTAAGTTGATATAAAGTGGAGTCGAGCACATTGTTTATCTTTTCATAGTCCAGTATTGTGCAATGTTGGCATAGGAATCAAAGACACATTCTCACACTACTACACAATGGAAAGCCTGATGATCTTTTAGTCCTAAAGTCAACTACATGGGAGCAATTCCTACAATTGGCCAGTGCATGCTTGCATGGGGGAAGACTGGGAATCTGACTATCATTAATAAAATAATATGGCTAATCTACTTAAAGGAATACTTCGGGATTCTGGCAATGAGGCCCTTTATCTACTTGCCAGACTCAGATGAACTTGTGGATACCATTTTTATGTCTCTGTGTCCAGTATGAAGGAAGTTAGAGGTACAGTAGTTTCACAAGCCAATGCTAACTAGCATTATTGCAATGACACCCATAGAATTCCAGTCATTGCACTAACGCTAGTTAGCATTGGCTTGTAAAACTACCTTTAACTTCCTCTAACTTGCTTGTCTCTCTAACCGCTAGGCTGTCTCTAACCGCTAGGCTGTCTGCCATATGACATCTGTTTAAAAAAAGCAAATTATCAATTCATTCACAAGTCCATCAGACTCTGGGGAAGTAGATAAAGGAACTCATTGCCAAAATCCCGAAGTATCCCTTTAAGAGAAACCATAATTTGATTTGTATTATATATAGCAGAAAGGGAGAGGACCATCTTTAGATTAGAATTAGATTGAAGGGAATAAGAATTATAGTCCAGTAAAACCTATACACTATTAAATGGTGTCCTGATGTTACCCATGCACTTCAGAGTAGTGAAAACATCCCACAATACATACATCATCTCCATGACTACATTCTCACACCACATATTACAGCTGGAGACTATCACTGATTCAGTCATTTATACACAATAAATACATATCTCAATGAGGGAATTGTTATCCTATATTCAGATCTAGACACTATTATTCATTCATTTGAAGGTTCAGTTCAAATGCAGAATTATTATTATTTATTTATTCTGCTGATGTAGCTAATCTGCGGAGGCTTACCTTTCTTCTGTTTGGAGTGATCCCAGTTCTAGAACGCAGAACAACAGAGACAATCCCAGAATGACAGAGATTAAAATAGATGTGTGTTGATAGAAAGTCAGATGAATAGAGATTATAAATCAGTGCTAACACCTCTCCCCTCCTCTTCCACTGTTCTCTCTCCCTCCTTCCCTTTGTGTTATACAAACGTGGGTAATAGTTTCAGTTTCAGTTTTACAAGAGTGGCAGTGCAGAAATATATCCCACACAATGAGAGATAAAGACCAATAGAGCTAGATAAAGAGTGATAAAGAAAGATAGAGAGGTATACAACTTGCTGCAAACAAATTCCACACAGAGGTGTTGACTTACTGTCATAGGTAACAGTAGTGGAACAGGGAGTGGAGGAAGAGGCACGGGTGTTAGTGTAGGAGGTTTTTATAACCAGACTTATCCCTGTTTAAATATACTGATACAGCTGCCAGTTCTCTATGAACCATACAGTATGTGTTCTTATGATAACCTGTTGGGGAGGTGATTTAACAAGTTTCAGTCAACCCACCTCTCTCCAGTCCACTCAAACCTTATAAAGGTCTTATTACACAGCACAGCACAACGCTGCAATGCACAGCACTGCAAATACAGTACCTATCCGTCTGGCCAGGGTAGCCTACATATGAGATTAAGATTAAGCAGTTGGGTATGGCCATACCCTAGCTCAACACAAACCATTTAAAATAGGCAACTAAAATCATTCCAATCACGATTAAAAGGCAAATGCAGTTTAGGGGGTGTCAGCTGGTCTGATTTTAGGATCATGCGGACACCTGGGAGTGGGAGGGAAGGCTGTTTGTGTGGCTGGCAACTGGCTGGCTTTATGGAGAGCAGAGATCTATATATAATGACAAAATGTTTATGTCTCCGCCCTAATAATGGGAGTCTTCCCAAAGACAGGAAGGCAAGCGACAAGTTTAGGTCCAAAATAAGCCCATAGAAACACTTTGGGCTTATTTTGGTCAGATTTAGGCGATAGTGAAACCTCTCGCTTAGCCTCTTCCTCTCTGTAGAGAGCCGCATCGACGCAACTGCAGGAAACAGCAGGACTTTTTCTCAACACATTGCAGAGGTAGCTAAAAATAGCTGTAGTAGATGGCATTGTCTATGTAACTGCTGTTTGACTTGACATGAAACTAAACTAGAGTTTTGATCCCGGTGCAGAGCTAGTGCGTAGCAGGCTAATTGTTGTATGACCTGTTTGTAGAATGTTAAATCCTCTATTGACTGAGGTAAATGAAGCCACAGCAACAAGGCAATAATGGCTGGAGTCAATTTAGCTTGTTTTTGCTCTTCTCCAAAGTGCATTTGAGAATTTTTAGAAATGTTGTTGAAATGCATTAAATGGGCTTAAACCATATTTTAAATCCTTGGAGGAACCCCTGTCACTTTGCCATACCCTAGGTTTAGCTGAAATGACGCCCCTAAGATTAAGATAACTTTATTGGTCAATTGCACATATGTTCCAACCGAAATTTGACTTCTGATTTTAACCCAACCCCTCTGAAAGGCAAACATACATACACATACAGTACCAGTCAAACGTTTGGACACGCCTACTCATTCATTTTTATTTATTTGTTACTATTTTCTACATTGTAGAATAATAGTGAAGACATCAAAACTATGAAATAACACATATGGAATCATGTAGTAACCAAAAAAGGGTTAAACAAATCAAAATATATTTTATATTTGAGATTCTTCAAAGTAGCCACACTTTGCCTTGATGACAGCTTTGCACACTCTTGGCATTCTCTCAACCAGCTTCACCTGGAATGCTTTTCCAACAGTCTTGAAGGAGTTTGTATTTGTTATGGATCCCCATTAGCTGCTGCCAAGTCAGCAGCTACTCTTCCTGGGGTCTAGCAAATTTAAGGCAGTTCATACAATTTAAAAAACATTCAATACATTCACAGATTTCACAACACACTGTGTGCCCTCAGGCCCCTACTCTACCACTACCACATACAGTGGGGAGAACAAGTATTTGATACACTGCCGATTTTGCAGGTTTTCCTACTTACAAAGCATGTAGAGGTCTGTAATTTTTATCATAGGTACACTTCAACTGTGAGAGACGGAATCTAAAACAAAAATCCAGATCACATTGTATGATTTTTAAGTAATTCATTTGCATTTTATTGCATGACATAAGTATTTGATCACCTACCAACTAGTAAGAATTCCAGCTCTCACAGACCTGTTAGTTTTTCTTTAAGAAGCCCTCCTGTTCTCCACTCATTACCTGTATTAACTGCACCTGTTTGAACTCGTTACCTGTATAAAAGACACCTGTCCACACACTCAATCAAACAGACTCCAACCTCTCCACAATGGCCAAGACCAGAGAGCTGTGTAAGGACATCAGGGATACAATTGTAGACCTGCACAAGGCTGGGATGGGCTACAGGACAATAGGCAAGCATCTTGGTGAGAAGGCAACAACTGTTGGCGGAATTATTAGAAAATGGAAGAAGTTCAAGATGACGGTCAATCACCCTCGGTCTGGGGCTCCATGCAAGATCTCACCTCGTGGGGCATCAATGATCATGAGGAAGGTGAGGGATCAGCCCAGAACTACAGGGCAGGACCTGGTCAATGACCTGAAGAGAGCTGGGACCACAGTCTCAAAGAAAACAATTAGTAACACACTACGCCGTCATGGATTAAAATCCTGCAGCGCACGCAAGGTCCCCCTGCTCAAGCCAGCGCTTGTCCCGTCTGAAGTTTGCCAATGACCATCTGGATGATCCAGAGGAGGAATGGGAGAAGGTCATGTGGTCTCCTTTCCCCTTCTGATAACCAGGTGGCGAATCGCATCTCTGCATGTCTGGCAGACATATCAGTATGGATGACGGATCACCACCTCAAGCTGAACCTTGGCAAGACGGAGCTGCTCTTCCTCCCGGGGAAGGACTGCCCGTTCCATGATCTCGCCATCACGGTTGACAACTCCATTGTGTCCTCCTCCCAGAGTGCGAAGAGCCTTGGCGTGACCCTGGACAACACCCTGTCGTTCTCCGCTAACATCAAGGCGGTGACCCGATCCTGCAGGTTCATGCTCTACAACATTCGGAGAGTACGACCCTGCCTTACACAGGAAGCGGCACAGGTCCTAATCCAGGCACTTGTCATCTCCCGTCTGGATTACTGCAACTCGCTGTTGGCTGGGCTCCCTGCCTGTGCCATTAAACCCCTACAACTCATCCAGAATGCCGCAGCCCGTCTGGTGTTCAACCTTCCCAAGTTGTCTCACGTCACCCCGCTCCTCCGCACACTCCACTGGCTTCCAGTTGAAGCTTGCATCTGCTACAATACCATGGTGCTTGCCTAC